TGTGAGGGTCTGTGAGTGTCACGAATACACTGCTCAAATCGTAGGGCCCCTGTGAGGTGCAATTTCTGTCTTATAGACACGGGTAGAGTACATTTATATTTCGAGTGACAAAACTGACTGCAGGCGAAGGGGATTAGTTTTCGGGATTCTTCCAGGAGTTGGATTCATCTGGGAGGATCCTGGATGAAACAGCTTCCAGGGTCAAGACGAAGGGTGTTATTCATAGTGAACAGGGGAATCGTAGACACATAGCTGGTTAAGAAATGACCAACCTCGTGGCCGGATGCAAATCTGGCATATCGACACTCCGAGGACGAGAAATTTATACGCCGGATGCAATATTACGGGGGGACTTGAAAGTTTATCTGTTTGCGTATTTTGCACAACAACAAGGGTTCATTTATCGGTTATTCAAATGACTAATACAACCTCAAACAGGAACAGGACAATCGGAGATCTGTAAGCAATCGAGTAACAACAATTAATGAACCCCCACCTCTCCCTTTCCGAAAGAATAACAAATGTGTTTTCAGGCTAACTAGCCTGCACCAAGTTTCCACATTTTCAATGTAAAATGACGCAGTTTGTTCGTTATTCGCAATGTCGTGTGAGAACCATTTCCGGGGGTTTATCACGAACGCATTCTGTGGGGGGAGGAGCTGCTGTGATACCCATGAAAGAAACTTGTCTCATTTTGTGATAATTTCAAAGTAGCGATGCTGTGCTGACAATAAATTTGGATTTCGCACATTCACCAGGAATTGAGATATTTCGGTTTCTTGCAAAAATACCCGTCAAAACAAGTTCCCAATTAGGGTGGAGCCCCAGATAATCACACCACTAATCAGCTACTCGTGGGGAAATGGATTAGGCTTCATTTAATATTGGGGAGTAGGCGGGTTCCACTCTCTCCTGAGAAGTATTAGATGCGCACAACAGACAGTTCTCAAGAAGAATGAACCGGCTGTATAGTGCACGTCGGCGTTGCGGCGAAGCTAGGCCACATTCTCTATTGCAAAACCCGAAAAATCTCATACGTCGATCAGCACTAGGCTACCGGGTATTTATTGCAGCTACGCGGTAGCCAAACATCTGATTAGGCAGCTGACTATGCCCGAATTCAAGCAATTACTCAACGGAAACACACATGAGTAAGTTACATTTAAACTTTTGGACAGAGATAATGCATCCAAGTGGTGTTGGGAGAGCTGAGACTCCATGAAACCCTCTACTCGCATTCTTCAGCCGCCGCGCCTCACTCTATACCAATTCAACATCAATATATCTGTCATTTGTACTTTCATTCAGGCGAACGTTTATCACGCGTATCAACTCGTGCGTGCAAACAATGTTCCACCGGAGAATATAATTACCTTCGCCACAGACGATATTGCAAACAATCGCAGGTAAATATCGCGAACAATTTTCACGTTCTCTTTTTATTTCTTGACATTTCGTGACTGTGAATGCCAGAGAACCAACCAGCACAATCTGTTTATCATATCAAATAGCCACTGTTGTGATAAATCTCCGCTGGTGGATAGCACTTTTTAACTTGTTTTCATTTGACAGTGGTCTGAAATCAACAGCACTGACACCTAGATGTCGTTTGAGTGCGTAGGCCGCCTGATGATTTGGAGTAAGTATTAAGCAGACAATCCAGTTAGTCTTAGAAGTTTGTAATAAAACCAGTTGCTAGGATTAGTGGAGCAAACTTCTAATGACGTGAAACGCGGCTCTTGCTTGGAGAGTGTAATAATCGCAAGTCGTTTATTGCTCACTCGAATTTCATGCAAGGCACTGGGGGAGAAGTTGCTAATGAAATATATTACTAGTGGCGTTTGGCCGTACAAATAAAAATAAAACTAATACATTTTACACAGTTTGTCTCTGTTCGTTGTTATGTATTTACCTGCATCACTGTCGGATCTCTACATCATCACTGCTTTAAGGATAGTTTGTCAGCGAAAGCGTACAACAAGGGGCCCTCATCGTCTTGAAGATTTATTGGTCAACAAACCCGGGGACCAACGGGAAACAGAATTTACGATCCATTCATTTCCCTCTATTCGACCTACATTTTGATTTCTTTAAAAAACCAAATGTCGCCATTAATTTCCTTATTCCAGAAATCCGTATAAAGGCAGAGTGTTCCATGACTACAAGCACGAAGATGTCTATAACGGTGTGGTAATTGACTACCGTGGAAAGGTATGTTCCGGTGTTCCGGTGCGTAGCAACCGGATGGATTTCTCCGTCATTTCACCGTGTAACACAAGGTGCAATTAACATGACCGTGTGTATGAAAACACAATATTAACCGTAGGGCGTACCGATCAGGTTCATTATATAAATAATAATAAATTAACTTGAGCGAACACTAGTCGTAAGATTATAGATAACTCTCGAGCAGTCCAAGACCGAGATTAAACTTTGCTTGTAGGCCATGAGGTGAACTTCCATGTATTAACGCCATTTTTAAAACGAAGTTCTCGATTTGAGATTTTCAAGCTAGCGTTCTTTTCAAAAGAACCCCCAGCGTATATCAGTGCCCGCAATTAGATGCAGCGCGTCGTTTGTGAACTGTGTGCGGCGACTATCTTCTTGAAATTGCGGCGCTTCCTGGATGCTCTATTGGCAAACAATGGCTATTGGCTCCAATCTGAGCTCATCCTTATGCTGGATCGGCTAGCTACGCAATCCAACTGTCATTCTGTACAAGCACATTAACAACCAAATTTCCCTTTTCCAGCGTTCTGCGGACGTTGTGAATTTAATCGAAGTAATGATGGGGTACAGATTATAGATCTCAACTATTTGTTAAACTGCAAATGGATAGCCACTAAGGATATAATAATTGTTGAAAACACCATTGTCACAGGAATGATGGATCATGCGTGTTTATCTGTTTAAGGATGTCAGTCCGAAAATGTTCGAGAGAGTACTGAAAGGCGATGAGACACTTGAGAGACGAGGGAAGAAGGTGCTGAAAAGGTGAGTTTGCACGAAATTTAACATTCTTGCTGCACTTGCTGATCATAGCCAGAAAACTAGCTTTCCATGTCCGAGTTCTGGATTTACGAAATGTGTGCTTAGTATGTACATAATCTCCTCAAGTAGAGCTTTCATGCGCCAGTCAGAAAAATTTTGCTTTACTCAATTGGAAATCCGATTTATCAATTTCAGACTAGCAGTTAATATTAAATCATATTAAATCATAAAACATTCAATCATATCAAATCGTCAATCGGTACTGTTAAGAAGTTTCACAAAGATTCAATTATGTCCAGTTGTGCATTATCAAATATCTGCTCGGACTCGTACTCACCGGGGTCGGTCGATCTTGGTGTACATCGATTCAAGAGATGTTTCAACTCAACGTGAAAAGCAAAACAAGTGAATAATCCTGATTGTCGATGGGTTGTATGACATTCCCATTAATCCGTATCGCCATCCACCGATATTACTCTCAGCTTTTGGAATACCTGTTTCGCCCCGGGTTTTATGTGGGTACGTAGCGTCCCGATTCTACAATCTGTCTATCGTCATTATCGCTTCACTTCACTTCGCTATCTTCACCCGCCTATGACGAGAATTAAAGCATCAGCATACAGAGATAATCCAGGAAACCAGACAAATTTTATTCACGTGCAAATTATTAATATTTCATCCGCTCAGTTATTCACTGTTTGGGACGGGATCTGCGGCGCAATTCATAATCATCCGCTCTTGGTGCGTGTTTTCTAGTTAATCGCTTCTTCGTACGTGAATCGAGATAGATGTTCCTTCAAACCGATCCATTTCATTTGCACTTAGATGGAAACAACCTTGATTCAACAGTTTTCGTAAACACTGATTATTGGGCCTTCTTCATGAGCCTTGTGTTAGTTGGTGGTATGCGCTCATTCAGCTTTGATTCCGAAAATTCATGCCTCCTGTTCTGTTCGGTCGCCATTTTATAGCTGTCCATTTGAGTTTATTTTGAGGTTTCATCGGTTCTCACAAGTGCTTGGTGCGAAAAATTCACAGATCCACCCTTTCAGTGAACTCAATCTGGTACGCTCATTTCTGAACTCACCCGCTAAGTGGTAATGAGACAGTAGCACCGGAGACATTGGGATGGGTACTCAAAGGCGATACACTTTCCTGAACGTTTTAAAGCAGTTTTACCAATGGAAAGTTCATCCACACAATAAAACTGCAAAAATTAGGCCACAGCACAACAGGAATTCAGAACGAAGCAATCAAAATGAACCATTGAAACCAGAATTCCGAGTGACGGCGAATCGAAAGTAAGGTAGACAGACTGCGCCAAGACAGAACTCGGTAACGGGTAGATGAAACCACGAACAAACGGCTCTCAGACAGGATCTAATGAGGGCACCTAACGAATTCAGGGAACGCAGACCATATGCAGCAACTAAATTTTCTGACAGAATCTGTCGTGAAGCATATTCTGGGAACACAGACCGGAACGCAGTGCAGCTCTGAACGGACCGATAGGAACCAGAGTACGGTATCCTCCCGTCAACCGGTCATGGGCTGATAATATCAGACAGGTAAGGAGGAACGGTCGATCCGATCATTCACCTATGATGTCACTTCGCCTGGTGACGAAATATTTCAAAGCTCATCACCATAAGCGAAGAACATTTGTGAATTCTCTTATCAACGGCCAACGAACGGTGCATTTCCAGATCAGTTTTAGATAAAAAAATATACAGCTTCTTGGCTGTCCGTGTTCTAATTATAGATTCGTCTTGCCTTCATTTTGATATTGTTTCTCAGTGTTGTATACATTATGTGGATATTTCATTAAACGCATATAATTATACTACAAAGAGCTGAGCGTGACTGTCCTAATGGCAGCAGGATCAAACTAGCTAATGTGGAAACTGCCTCATGCCACCTTCGTGCATTCAAAACCATAGGAGCTTCTATATCCCTTGATACAAATATAATCCCACAAACATCCAAAAAAAATCGATTTTCCATTCTCATTCTCATGTGACAATGCAAACAGTAGTCGATTGGCTGTTACTGAAACAACTGATTATATCCAAAGAGGTATTTCGACCTGGGTGCTTGTTATCCTTCCACTACATTCGTGTGAATTGCTTAGCAGAAAAGCCATTTAGGAACTGCGCGGATAAACTGCTCAAAGTTGGACAAAGTCATATTCACGTGCCATGGAATGTAAAGAACCGTGAACCTCTCATACATATCTGATTACCTATTGTTCGGTTGTCCAAGACGAATTACGTATACTCGGCATCTGCAACGTGCGACTAAACTTACATTATTGGGGAATGTTACTTACGAATTACGAATTCCACGGCTTCTTTGTTGTGTTTTGCTATGCCTGCCCAATAAGCTACACTTCAAGACCACATTAACCTTCCTGTTCACTGACAGCGGTCGAGATGACTACTTGTTCATCTATTACACTGGCCATGGTTCGCCTTACGAGATTTCCTTTCCAAAGCATAATGTAAGTTTCGTTAATTTGGTAACCGTGTTTATTATAACACACAGCTTTTTGAGAAAGTCCGAAAGGCATCGATAAACATATGTTGGCGCATATTTATCTGTAATTCTTCATAAAAAGAGAGTTTTACTTTAAAAATGGCCCACAAGTCAACCGAAGTAGGGAACAGAAAGCCCGACGGTCGGATGTCTCTCAAGTTGTGTGAGCGACTTCAAGGTGTTTTATTGATAACGACAAATAGATTTTATTTTACTAAGTTCAGGGTCACTCAGCGCACATGAGTTCGCAGTTGATTCATTTAAACTGCTGAGCAAACAAAGGTACTATAAACAGCGAACCTGGCTGTCACTCATGGGCATAGATGGTGCAAAGAATGTTACGAAGAACGCGGCAGGCGAATTTCTCCTGACAAGGCCACATTCCCCTTTCTACTTCCAGAGGGACGGAGCGAATGTTTGGTAGTATGAAGAAGCTTTCGTATTCTATGTATGAAAAGGTAGTCCTTGACGAAATGCCGAGAAGCAAAGTACAACTGTTTCTATCCTAATAGTGCGCCTAGTAGGTCCAAAATTTAACCATTCGGCCACGGGCGGTCAACCAACAGCCTGAATTATCCACAATTAACCGGGATATTACGTCGCTCATTCTTCAATCAAGGGATCCGCACAACTGGAGATTGACCCCTGGGCTGACAAATTTCCAATTTCAAAATCCATTCACCTTGTGGACTATTGTTCTATCTGAACTACTAACAGTCTCTTGGTAGTGTGATATCGTTTGGATTATTACGATTCATTGCAAGTCTCTCTAAATCTCCGTGTAACGTGATTAGGGATAGAATTTTTTTCAATAAATTGGCTTGAATTAATGGACGTCATTTCACTACTCGACGACCAGTTGAAGACTTATGATGTGATTCCTTATATAAAAGCTATATTCACCCAAAAAAGAACATCTTTTTACTGAAAGTATTCATGTGGCTTTCGATGGTTGTAGTAATTTTGATTATGCAATCAGACTTATTCACGTCCATCACAGTGGATGAAATATGGAAATGTGACATTTGATTAATAATTTCCGTGGAATTAATAGCCGGAATAACTGGAAAATGGTCCATCAAAGTGGCCATTCCGATTTTGTGACTGTGGAGCACACAGCTGGGATAATCTGGAAATCTGTCCCTCAAAGTGGCCATTCATTATTCCGATTTTGTGACTGCCAGCTCGTTCGCTCTAACATTGGTTCTGGTGCCCGTCTCCAAGGAGAATTTACATTACTACTACAGAGGACATTCCGGAGAACTAACATACAGGAAACAGGGTCTTCAGCTATAAGTTTAGTAGAACTAAGCAAAACGCATTCACACTGTCCTCTAAATGATTCTGTTGGGATGTTTATCCAAAAAATCAATAATCGTTCGGCTTATCACCGATTCAGAGCCTAGTTATCATTGCACCCAAAGGCGGCACTATGGCTGAGACACTGCTTAGTTGCCAAAGCCTGGACAATAGCAGTTAGAATGCTGAGGTTAGTTAGCAAACCTGTACTCTTTGGTCCAAAGTTTCACGCTACAATCAGTAAGTTATCTCGAGCTCAGGGGATTTCTTTTCTTTTCTTGTGACAGCTCGATGCCGGGAAGTTCAACAAACTCCTCGGCCACCTGTATTCAAACCAAAAGTACAGGAAAATGGTGATTTACATGGATGCTTGCCTCTCTGGCTCTATCTTCGTGGGTGTGCTTCCTTCAGACGTGGGAAGTAAGTAGAGTAATTCTTTTTGGACAACACTCGTGGGATTCTTGAGAACGTCCAGTCTGGTTCAAGTAACTAAGGTTGAGGTAAACTGGACGACTGCCGCTACCTGTGTAGCCCAAAGAAGCGTGAAAGCCATGGTGTGATGTCAAAAAGCTTTCAGCAACCCTCTGAGTAGTTTGTTTGTCCTGACAGCTCCACAACGTCCGTGAGTCACACTGTCCGATCGTCGATAATAATTTACCTCATTATTTCGCACTTTTCATACTGATCTATTCGTTCTGTTGTCTGAACCCCCAAAAACCGCAGTCTACGCGACAACATCAGCCAATGCCAATGAGGACAGCTTTGCTCAGTTTTGTGAGGACCCGCAATTCAGTGTTTGTTTAGCGACCGAATTCTCGTATGCCTGGATTACAGATTCTCAGTCCGTGAGTTATATGAAAACTGTTCTAGAGAAGCCTATGAGTTTCGGATGGGCAATCCGGTGAAAGTCAGCAACTAGTGGTAGTCCATTCGATGCGCCAGACCACTCATTTGTGTATTTTTGATGAGTTTGTCGTACTTCTTTAATAAATGTACATTTTTGAGTGACAGTGTAGGCAGGTGTAATTTGAGGTCAGCTGATACTGTTGACACTCAGTCCGAACTTATGATGTGACTCTTGGAAATCCTTGCTCACGCGCAGTGCAGATGTATGCTGCTCAAAATCTCCCGAGTCTTGCACATCGATGGTGGCGCCTACCGGGCTATCACTCAGTTTGCAAAGAACCTCGCTGTGTATGGCTTACCCGGCAACATAGCATTTGACGGTTCTGCCCACGCGAACCTGTCTACTCATCCAAACCATCAACCTCCGAATACATGTAGTACCACAAGGTAGGATGTTTTATTTCTAGTTCAGTTTAGCTTGCATAGGGCTATTCGACCGTTTTCGTTTTGTTGGCACTTCTTGTGACATTTGTGATAAATCTTTTATACATATTTCAGCCTGCAACTGGCTACTCACCACCACTAACACCGACACTGCCATGGCCAATTCAGCGATCACGACCGTCCGAGGCCCGTAAAATGAGGAAACGATTAGTTTCTCCCTGACATCCCGATCAGGTTCACCTCTATTCTTTCAGAGTTGTGTGAATGAGGCTACCATATGTCTGGGTAACATCGGTGTTACTCGCTCTCTAATATGGAGACCATCCGGTTCCCACAGTGACTGGTTAGAGACACTACAACGTATGCATTTGAATGGACGTTAGTGGAATTTTTGTTATCATGTTCGATTTGCATCGCCTGAATCAGTGTCAGGAGCTGAAGGTTCATCGGAGAAATTGTGGTAGGCCAGCAATAAGTTCTTTTGTCATTCACTTTAGTTTTTTAATAGGGCTCCAAATGGATTTGAATGCACGTCGGGAAGCATCGGTGTTGAAAACGGATGCTGAAATTAAGGGGACGATGATGATGATGATGATGATGGTGATGTTGGTGAATGCCCTAGAACTTCAAATCCTTAACTCGTGTGTGTTTATACTGTCGTGACACAGCGAAGCAACCTGTGATATATCAGCAGTATATGTCAATCAACATTTCGTGTGTAGTAGCCCTGGTGATGGTTTCACCAAACAAGTGCGCTGGGCCATTTGTTACGCGCGCAAAAGTACCTGAAAAAATGACATGGGATCAACATTAACAGCGGCAGACACTAGTGATTCGCTGAGGATACTAACAATAATGTCGTAACTCTAGTGTGTTTTGGCTGTTTCCGGCCACAGTGAATCTACCTTAAAGTT